TCTAAACCTTCATAAACTCAAAGTTTTTGGCTGTTTATGTTATCCATGGCTCCGTCCTTATGCCTCACATAAGCTACAACCACGATCTAAGCCCTGCATTTTTATAGGCTCCTCTCTTGAACATAATGCTTTTCGATGCTATGAACCCCAAACTAAAAAAATCTTTATATCACATCATGTTATTTTTGAGGAGTCTGTCTTTCCTTTTCAAAATAATCCTACTATGTAGGCTACTCCGATAAACATACATCACTAGAATATCCCTCCGATCTCATCACACGAACCTCCCATTACTCCAGTTCAATATCTTCTCATTCCTTCTATTTCTCTACTCCCTTCCTCACAAGTTTTCCTATTAATGAAGTAATACCCTCGGCAACATTGTCACTGGCTTTACTTTCTCTTAGACATCCAATGGTAACACGCTCCAAAAGTGACATTGTTGTGCTGGCGGTTAGCCCGGTCCATGATAGTGACTCGTCCTCAGCTATACCACCAACACAATCTACCACTTCCATCCCCCCTAGACATCCAATGGTAACACGCTCCAAAAGTGGTATTTTCAAATCACGTTAAGTCCTTGACTTACATGCTATAACAAATTCCTCCACTGAGGCCAGTGAACACACTACAATCACTCAAGCTCAAAAATTCCTCCACTAAGGCTAGTGGGCACACGACTCACCAATATCATTCGAAGAACTTTATAATAAGTTGATCGACTATGAGACGTACTTGAAGCGTGATGATAGGTTGCCCGGACCACCTATTATAGCTTAGGTCAATCAAAAATCCAAGAGGAAGAGCAACCAGTACAAAAAGCACGTCAACAACGGTCTGGCTAAGCTGCCTCCTAGCCCTATGGGGCCTAGACCAAACCCCCCTTATCTATATCAAGGTGATAACTTTCATAATCCTTAGCCGTCATGTCCTGACTTCACAAGCCACCAACGAGTCATTTGCCAACTATGTGATAAAGTCGAACGCTTCACGAAAGTCTGTCGGTCTCACCCCAAACTCCCTGCTCCGTCATAGTGGCCTCAGGCGAATTTCATGGCTACTCCAACTCCTACCCAACCTAATTAGATTGTGGACTCGGGCGTCTCTCATCACATCTCTTCTGATCTTCAAAACTTGTCCATCCACAACAACTATGACGGAAATAAAGATATCATCATCGATGACGGTAAAAGAATTCATATTACTCATTCTGGTTCCTCAACGCTTAGTTCACTTATCATAACTTTTACACACGATGATGTTCTGTGTGCACCTAACATTAAAAGAAATCTCATTTTCGTTTCTCAATTATGTAAATAAAATAATACCTCCATTGAATTCTTTCCTAACTTTTTTCTTGTCAAGGATTTGAGCACGGGAGCATCTTTAGTCTAGGGGCAAAACAAAGACAACATTTATGAGTGGCCATCCGTTTCGCAAATTACCCTTCCTACTGCTCACTCTTCAGTCGTAGCTCCGGTTGATATATGACATCGTCGTCTTGGTCATCCCTCCCCTTTTATCTAGCAAAAATTACTTTCTCGTTATTCTTTTCCTACCTTGAAAATCAATAGCACTATCAATCATTGTGATACTTGTCTTTGCAATAAAAGTCATAAACTGCCTTTTGGGACAACCTCCATTTCTTGCTCTAAACCATTTGAAATCATTTATACCGATGTGTGGGGCCCTGCCCCAATTCCTTCTTTTGACAAGTTTCGCTTTTATGTCATTTTTGTAGACTATTTTACTAAGTACATATGATTATATCCTCTCCACCATAAGTCTGATGTTTCCACAGTATTTACCATCTTTCGAAAGTTGGTCGAGAATTTTTTTCAATCTTCCATTAAAACAGTTTACTCTGATGGCGGAGACGAATATCAAGCCCTCACATCCTGTCTCTCTGCTTGCGGTATACAACATCTCAAGTCACCCCCATATACTCCCCAATTGGTTGGCTCTGCCGAACGCAAACATCAACATATCGTTGAAACTGGTCTCTCCCTTCTACATCAAGTATCCATGCCACCACCTTTTTGGGCAGTAGCTTTTCAAACTGCAGTTTATCTCATTAATCGTATGCTCACTCCAGTCTTACAATACTAATCACCATTTGAAAAATTATTCCACAAGCTTCCAAACCTTCATAAACTCAAAGTTTTTGGCTATTTATGTTATCCATGGCTCCATCCTTCTGCCTCACATAAGCTACAACCACGATCTAAGCCTTACATTTTTATAAGCTACTCTCTTGAACATAATGCTTTTCGATGCTATGAACCCCAAACTAAAAAAGTCTTTATACCACGTCATGTTATTTTTGAGGAGTATGTCTTTCCTTTTCAAAACAATCCTACTATGTAGGCTACTCCGATAAACATACATCACTAAATATCCCTCCGATCTCATCACACGAACCTCCCATGACACCGCCTAGTCCTTTACCCTCAAGATCCGCATACTACTATTACTCCAGTTCAACAGCTTCTCACTCCCTCTACTTCCCCACTCCCTTCCTCACAAGTTTCCCCAATTAATGAAGTAATACCCTCAGCAACATTGCCACTGGCTTTACCTTCTCCTAGACCTAGTGACATTGTCGTGCCGACGGTTGGCCCGGTCCATGACAGTGACTCGTCCTCGGCTATACCACCAACACAATCTACCACTTCCATCCTCCTAGACATCCAATGACAACACGCTCCAAAAGTGATATTTTCAAATCACGTCAAGTCCTTGACTTACATGCTATAACAAATTCCTCCACTGAGGCCAGTGAACACACTACAATCACTCAAGCTCAAAAATCTTCTCACTGGCGTAAAGCCATGTGTAACGAATATGATGCTCTCCTTCATAACTCTATATGGACCTTAGTACCCTTTCATCACACACAAAATATCATCGGGTGTAAATAGGTCTTTCAAATTAAGCGGAACCCAGACGGATCCGTTGCTAGATATAAAGCACGTCTAGTTGCCAAAGGGTTTCATCAACGACCTGGTGTCGACTTCATAGAGACATTTAGTCCCGTTGTTAAACCCACAACAATCCGTCTTATCTTGAGTTTGGCCATCTCAAAGGGTTGGCATATACGACAATTGGATATTAACAATGCCTTTTTACAGGGGTCACTTACTGAAGATATCTTTATGCAGCAACAACCTCCTGGTTTCGTTCATCCTCAGTATCCGAGACATGCCTGCAAACTTCAAAAAGCTATTTATGGACTTCGTCAAGCTCCAAGGGCTTGGTATACCGAGCTTGGCTCATTTTTGCCCTCAATTGGCTTCATCAATTCCAAGTCTAATACCTCGTTATTCATTTGCCAGTACAATGGAAGCACAATATATCTTTTAGTATATGTGGATGATATTATTGTCACAGGAAATGATCCTCTGAAGACTTAGGCATTTCTAAAGCACTTGGCCGATCGATTCTCCCTCAAAGATCTAGGAACTTTAAGTTACTTTCTGGGAGTGGAAGCAACATTTACATCTTTAGGTCTCTTCTTATCATAAAGAAAGTATATTTAATATTTATTATCAATGACAAACATGCAGAATGCGAAAGAGGTTACAACTCCTCTCTCTACTAGTGAATCACTTAAATTATGTGATGGAAGCCCTACTACAGATTCGACTCAATATCGACAAGTCCTTGGCTCCTTACAGTACTTGGCTCTCACCCGTCCAGATATCTCATTTGCCATCAATAAATTATCGTAATTCATGCATCGACCATCTACTACGTATTGGTCTGCGGTCAAACGAATTTTGCGGTATCTTAAAAGGACTCTTAATCATGGCATTTTTCTTGGCAAAAATGCTTCACTCCATCTCCATGCCTTTTCTGATGTTGATTGGGTAGAGAACTTTGATGATTGAACATCTACGTCAGGATACATTATCATCCTTGGAGCTACTCCAATCAGTTGGAGTTCTAAAAAACAAAAGACGGTTGCACGATCTACAACTGAAGTTGAATACCGTGCCATCACCACCACCGCTGTTGAACTCAATTTGGTCACTAATCTGCTTAAGGAACTCAACGTCAACTCTACGGTTATTCCTACAATATATTATGATGATATTAGAGCTACCTACTTATGTGTCAATCCAGTGTTCAATTCCCGCAAGAAATACATTGCCATCGACTTCCACTTCGTGCGAGAGCAAATTGTCAGACATCAACTCCGTGTTTCTCAAGTACATACGACTGATCAACTAGCAAACTCACTCACAAAACCTCTCGCTCGACATCCTTGATGGAAGCTCAATCTTACGGGGCATGATAAGTATAAGATTTCCTTATGACAATTGAGGAAATCTCTAAGCAATTGAGTGCTAAGAGATTTCCTCAATTGAAATCTTATCTACTTATCACCTTCAAATTATTTTTTTTTTTAAGATAATCAAACTTTTAATCTATAAATCTTTTTCCATTAAATTAATTATCAGTGTGTTGTTACGGTCTCTTCTATCAATAATCTTTCTTTTCTCGTAATCTGGCATTAATTGTCTTCTTGATCTTGTTATATCATTCTTTGATAGTTGTTAATCAAATCTGCTCCTCATCGATGTCATCTTCTTGATATTTTCTATGTTCTCTCTTTAATTTTACCTCCTCTCTAATTGTTTCTCTTTAGTAGTAGTTCTCTCTCTAATAGCTTCTCTACTTTTTCTCTTTAGTTCTCTGTAGCAATTCATCCCGTTTACTCCCCACGGGCTATTACACCTCGTCATTGTCACAAACACTCCAACTCGCAGTTTATGATGTAATTCTTCATAAATAATATAAGGTCGGTTTCTAGCCAGCCATCCATCCATCCATCCATCCAATCTGACCTCATGAAGGTGTAGTGCAATCTACAGAATATTTCTTTTTCGTTTTGTTCTCTTCTTCCTTACATCATCATCATATGAACTATATTATAAGTATGACGAATAAATAAGCTGAGCAAAAATGATCAGTTAACTTGGTGAATGAAGACTTACAGCGTGGTCTCACAGAAGATTAGGAAGCGTTGATCGGGCGAAAGTGAGACGCCATTGGCGAAGTAGAGATCACGGAGGAGCACCGAGGTTTGGTTAGTGGAAGAATCGAAGCTCATCAGCCTTCCATGGGGTCGGCCCTCGAGAATGTCTAGTATGTGCGTATCGAGGTTGAACTTGTACGATGCATCTGTGAAGTAGATCAAGCCATCCGACGCAACATCAACACCATCGGTCAACCGAAACATTAGTCCATCTGCTTCATCAGTTAGCATGGCCACACTCTGATCTGGCTTTACTATCATCAACCCCTGCCAAGAACAATACTATCATCATTTCATCTTGTTGATTTTTTTATTCCTTCGATTGCATCCAAAGGAAAGGCTTAATTCTAATATGTGAAACTTGAATTTGGACTGACCATAAAAACACAAAGAATCCTCCTACGTATTTTATATTATTAACTGTCAACAGAAAAAAGTACTCCAAATCTTTGCTGTGCTTAATTGATGGGAATTCAATTCACGACCTAAACTGGCATGTTGAAGAAGAAGACAATGAAAGGACTTCTTTCTCACATTATTGGATTCCGCGACGACGAGGTCGCCGCCAGGTCCCAAGGCCACTCCGAGAGGCCGGCCACCGACATAAGCCCAGTCTTCCACCTCCATCTTCTCATCCTTCAGACTCACCCTCCTGATCCAGCCATCGCTGCACCCAGTATAGAGGAAGCCGCGAGCCTTGTCGTAGGCCAAGTCCTCCGGGCCCGGGAGGCGCCCCTCGCCTACGCGCTTGCTGGAAGCGAGGATGCGGTCGTGGCGCTCCGCCACGGCCAGGGAGGCGCTGAAGGAGTAGTCTGCCGGCAGCGGCGCCGGGTCGAAGCCGTTGGGATCGTTAACGACGATGGAGATCACAATCGGCACTAGTATGAGGAGGAGAGCTCCAATAATAGGCCAGGAAGGCCTCCGTAGAGTTCGGTTGGGAGCGGGAGCAGCTGGAGAAGGATTTGAATCTGCCATTGAAGCTATGCTTTCTGCAACTCTGGCCTCCTGCTGAGCTCTGCGGGTGTGGAATAGACTTATTAGACGGAGGAGATGAGATCGAGCAAATTGGATATGAAATGCGTTGGAAGAGAGAGAGACAGGCGTGGAACGGAGCGGTGGCGTGGGACGGACGACGAGTGCAAGGTGGTTGCGTGGAAATCAACGGGAGGTTGATAACGCAACATGGGATGTAACCATACATGTAACTTTCTTGTCTTTTTGCATCTAAAAATACGTGGTGCTAATGGCTGAGATAGCAGGACAAAGTACTCTTTAAAATAATATTCTATTCAGAGTCTTTTGGTATATTGATACAGTACGTATCGATTGGATAAAGGATGTATCATTCGAGACAGAGTTTGTACCGATATCAAAATATAATTATTACCGACTTGTATTCATCCGTATTATTTGGTAATTATCAGATTTTAATTGTTATTGGCTCATATCTAACCAGTTCAAATGATCAGATCTATTTAAAAAGATTTCTAAACCCTTTTATCACCTCTTCTCTCAATCTCTTTTTGGCTCGTTTGTTTTCTAATTCTCATATTTACAGTCTCTTAAAACTTCACAAGATATTGATTTATGATTTGGATCAGGTTTGAAAGATTAATTGGGAAGAATTAAAACCTAAGTTAGAGAAAGAACTCTCTAATCAAATATATGTATATTTTTTTTATCAATTTTTGATGATTTATTATATTATTAAGTCTATTCTATATTCTAAATGTCTAATATATTATTTAAAATTTTTATGATGATAGAATAGTATTAATTTGGAAGCAATTAATACCTTTAATGTTGTTTAATACTTATTGTTTTGAAACTAGGTATTTAATGGATCAAATTTTATATTATTAATTTTAATAAGTGTGTTTGACGGTGGTGAAAGAGGGCTAACTAGATACTTTTAATAATGATTAGTATATTTAATGTTAATTTAAGAAAAAAATTAAAGATCAATTAAATATCTTTAATGCCTAATAGAGGGTTTGACAGGTTTATAGTGGTAAAAAAATATTTAGGATGCGATTAGTATATTTAATGATGATTCGATTATAGTATGGCTTATATTAGATCAAATTTATATATTTAATATCCCCAAGATGTTTAACATATTTATAATGGTAAAATAAGTTTAACTAGGATTTAATTAAATTTTACAATACTATAGTTAGTATATTTAATGATAAATTGATCGTTATTTGACCCTTTATTTTGTCAAATTTATGTTTTAATAATTATTAGAATAATTGACATGTTTATTATGGTAAAAGAGGGCTAATTAGAGATTAATTAGTGTTTTTAATATTATGATTAATATATTTAATTATAAATTTATCATAATTTGACCTATGTTAAGTTAAACCTATATATTTAATATTGACTAGATTGATTAACATATTTATAGTGCTAAAATAAGATTGATCACGTATGATTGATACTGTTATTTTAAATTAGGGCTAATTATAACTTATTTTTTTGATTCAATCTTAGTAGGAATATGACACATGATGACACTTGGGATCATACTCGAAGATATATGGTGATTGTTATTATTGTTGAATCTCAGATTTTGATAATGAAACCAACTAATATGTGTTTATGTTTTAATCTGCGTTTTGAGTGACGCAAGATGCTTCGATTAGGATGAGACAATTAAAGCAAGAAGAATCATGTTGTGCCGGGGGAAAAATTGTCAGAAGATTGGACATCGGGCTGGAGGAACGGTCGACGTATCGACAGAAGGCTTCGAGCCATGGATTCGGGCATCGGGCAAAGAAGAGCGGATATTACGCCAAGGATATCAGAGTTGCGGAGTCAACTGACCGATTGGACAATAGGCTGCAAGAGGGGACGATGCGCCGAAGAATCGGACGAAGCGTCGAGGGACCAATGACATGTCGGACAACTTGATTATTGCTTAGTATTAATTGTCTAGATCGAAGTGTGTTTTACATGTGCAGGATTAACTATGATAGCAAGGCATGAAGCAAAATGAAGTCCCGGAGTCAAGATCGTGATCAAGTTGGGAGTTCGAGAGTTCGTCGGAAGTCCGGATGTTCGTCAGAAGTTCTGTCAGAACCAGCCGAGAACTCTCAGAGCTTGCCAGAGAAGCTCATTGGAACTCACCAAGAAGATCGTCGTGAAGTCCAGGAGCTTGCCGGGAGTCCGCCGGAACATTGCCGAGAGATCGTCGGAAGTTCACCGGAAGCTCGTTAGAAGAATAGACGTACGAACTTATTTAGCTCAGATTATGTCTTAGATTTCATAGTTAGCACGTAATTAGATTTGGATTTGGGCCAACCCAATTAAGGGACAGCTAGGCCCATGTAAGGACTGTGTTGGGCCCAATGAGAGGCCCAAACAGTGCCCCAAGAAGTCTCACCGTCATGGCACAGTCTTCGAGATTGTGTCAGGCGATGGTACCATCAGTCTGGGCGGTGGTACCGCCCAACACTGCCCCCCAAGCGGTGGTACCGCTCAGGGCAGTGGTACCGCCCAGGGCAGTGTTAGTGTCAGACTGACACTGGGCGGTGGTACCGCCCGTGCTCGAGAAACCTGAGATGGAAAAGTTTTAGGCTCCAAGTTTGAATCAACTTGAAGCCTATAAATACCTCTCTTATCACTGGTTAAAGGATACAAGTATTGTAAGTAAGAAAGTATAGAAGCACTGCTACGATCTTGTGTGAGCTCATGTTAAAGTTCTAAGTGTTAGAATAGTTTGAGAGAGGAGTGAGTGGGGGTGTAAGGGTTATCTCCTAAACCCGGTAAAAGGAGAATTGAGTTGTAAAAGGTTGTTGGTCTTCGCCTATTGAAGGAAGACCGATAGTGGATGTTGGTGGCCTCGACGGAAGAGGAATCGGCAGAGTGGATGTAGGTCACGACGACCGAACCACTATAAAAATTTGGTTTGCATTTATGTCTTGAGCAATTTACTTTAACTGCAAACCTTTTCAATTGCTTACTACCTTCAATTCATTTATGAACATGTTTCAAAGTTAAGTTTCCGAAATCGATTTTCAATGTAAACAGATTTAATCGCAACGAAGTTTTTAAACCGACGTTATTTTACCACTGCACTAATTCACCCCCTCTTAGTGCCGACCCCGTTTCTGACAATCATTGGTAGTATATTTATTATTACTGCATTAGCAAAGGTGAAGGAATCACCCAAGCGAAGATGCATTTGGTCAACGGGTATTCCGATGTTACAAAATGCAAAAAGATTCCAATATATATTTGTGAATTATTTCAATATAAGTTATAACAAAGGGAAGATGTTATTGGGTTGATAACCCACATTCAGCCCATGGTGGGCTTTATTAACCCACAACCCACACCCCTTGACCTAACCCTAGATTAAAAGTTAGGGGTGTGTAGTGACTACATTTTTTGACGTAGAAAGAGGCAGAAAAAGGGCAATAGCGAGGGAGAAGGTTGCAGCCATGTGATTCCAAAGAAAAGGAGGAGAACAAGGTAGAAAAACAAGAGAAAGAAAGGGAAGAAGACAAGAACAACATAGAGAGACTGTTCTTAATCATCTAGTAGTACTTTCATCTCAGGTTAGATCAGATTTACAGTAGATTCTTACTGTGATTACTTGGGGAGAATTAGGGAGGATTTAGATATTGTGCACAGTGATGTGATCCTTGTATCCTAGTTATTCTCTTGTGATTGTTGCTAGGGTTTTGGGCAAGAGATTAAGATTTATATATTCATTATTATTATAGTGGATTATCTCTAGTTTGCCCCGTGATTTTTACCCTTCACATTGAAGGGGTTTTCCACGTATATCTTAGTGTTATATTTGATTATGGTTTCATTTAATTCCGCTGCATGTTATGGCCTGCCAGTATTTGTTCAGATGCAAAAGTTATTTCTCTTTATATCCCATCAACTGGTATCAGAGTAGGGTTGTCTCGTATGATTAGTTTAAATGAAAACAATTGGATGATATGAAAACCAAGAATGAAAGATCTCTTATATTGCAAAGATTTATATGGACCTTTGCAAGGGGATATTGTAAAACCCACAATTATGACAGATGATAAGTGGAAGAGGTTATATCAAAAAACAGTTGGGTTTATTCGATAGTGGCTTGATGATAGTGTCTTTCACAATGTTTCTACTGAAAGTTCTGCATATTCTCTTTGGAAAAAATTGGAAAGTCTCTATGAAAGAAAAACAGCTGGCAACAAAGCTTTTTTTATCAGAAAACTTGTGAACCTAAAATATAGAGACGATGCTTCTATTATTGAGCATTTGAATGAAATGCAAAGTATCACTAACCAGTTATCCTCTATGAAAATGTCTCTTGATTATGAGTTGCAGGCATTGTTACTTCTCAGTTCATTACTAGAAAGTTGGGAGACACTGGTAGTTTCCCTCTGTAATTCTGTGTCAAATGGTATTATCACCACGAGTCAAGTAACTAGCAATTTGTTGAATGAGGAGTTGAGAAGAAAGAATTCAGTAACATCTCAGAATAATTCACAAGCACTTATCTCAAAGAATAGAGGAAGGTCAAAGTCTAGAAGCAATTCATACATGGGTAGGAGCAAGTCAAGATCAAGAAAAGATATTATTTGCTATAACTGTGGTGAGAAAGGACATTACAAGAACCAATGTAAGCAACCTAAGAAGAGTAAGAAAAAGAGAAAAGAAGTGGAGTCTACAGAGTCAAAAGATTATATCACAATTATAGTGCAGGGTGGTGATTATTTCATTTTGTCTCTTTCTGATGATATTTTTTCTTGTGTGTGTCAGGATCTTGAGTGGGTGATTGACACAGGTGCTTCTTATCATGCTACACCACGGAGGGAGTTTTTTGCTACATACAGGTCTGAAAATTTTAGTGTTATCAAGATGGGCAACTATGGTATAACAGACATCATTGGTATGGGTGATATCTATTTAAAGACCAACCTTGGCTGCAAGTTGGTCCTTAAGGATGTGAGGAATGTGGTTAACTTGAGGCTAAATTTAATTTCAGTTGGAAGACTAGATGATAAAGACTATGATAGCAGATTTTACAAAGGGCAATAGAAACTTAGTATGGGTTCTCTTATTGTGGCTAGTGGAAAGAAATGTCACACTTTGTACAGGTTGCAGGCTAAAGCTTATG